CAATATTTACTAATTCCTACATGTATGTATGCGTAATATTTTTTTTTTTTATCGATATATTAGGTGTTAATCATCTTAAAAAAACACTTTTAAAGTTCAACAAATTTCTCTGTTTGGAAAAAATCTTGCTTCTTTGTTTTTATTACCGCCTTATAAATTGTTGAAACTTGTCTTTACGAAATTTCCATAACATTCTTATATTTTAATGACCATGACACAAACAACGGTACTTATAACGTTCACTTTGGTGTTAGTATAGTCCGTTAAACTTTGAACAAAACTAAAAAATTCACAAGTATTACTTTTTTTTTTTTCTTTGTACAATAGACGAGAACTGATCCTGACAAAATGTATGACTTGCTTGAAAAGCTTGGTACCGGTTCATTTGGAACTGTTTATAAAGCGTACGTATCAAATGTTTTTTATACGCAGAAAAAAACCAAAACTTTGTTCTCTTTTTCGAGAAATCGTCTAACATAATGTACGTTATTACATAAGCATAAAAAAGGAAACGAAGGAAGTGGTTGCCATTAAACAAATTGATTTAGAAGATTCTGATGATGATATTAGTGAGATTCAGCAGGAAATTGCTTTATTATCTCAATGTGACTCACCGTACATTACTCGTTATCATGGCTCATTTGTCAAAGGGTTTAAATTATGGATTGGTAAATATTTTATTCTTTGATTCAATTTTGAATTCGATATTAATAATAATTATTTAATTATTTAATTCTTTCCAGTTATGGAATATTTAGCCGGCGGATCATGTTTAGATTTGGTAAAGATTTATTTATTTATAACAAAAAAAAAAAATTTTTTTCATGTATATATATATATATATATATATAAATAGATATTTATTTATTTATTTTTTTTTTGTATTAACATCCTATAGCTTAAACCTGGTCCATTTGATGAACAGTATCTTGCCATAGTTCTAAGAGAACTTTTATACGGTTTAGAATACTTACATGTTGAAGGCAAAATTCATCGAGATATCAAAGGTAATTATGCTTAATAATCATTTTTGATTTAAATGCACTATGTTTAACTTTCTTATACAAATTTTTTATTTTATTTTAGCTGCCAATATCCTGCTTTCGGGTGATGGAAAAGTCAAATTAGGTAAACTTTTCAGATAGATTTCAAAAGGCACTTATGTGAGATAAAGTCAGGGTTGAATAGAAAGCCAACCCGATTTTTTTTAGAGCTAGCAAGTGATCCGTCGTGCCCAAATAATTATCGTGAATGCCTTTGTTAATTTTTTATTTTTTCCTTTGGTATCTGTCATAGCTGACTTTGGTGTCGCTGCACAGCTTTCAAATAATAAAAGTAAACGAAATACTTTCGTTGGCACTCCGGTAAGTGAATTGTGTCTTTATCTTCGTATATTTAAAGTCTGCTATAATTCAAAAATTATATTATAGTTCTGGATGGCACCTGAAGTAATTCGACAGGCAGGTTACGATCACAAGGCTGACATATGGTCTCTAGGAATCACAGCGATTGAAATGGCTAAAGGAGAACCGCCATTATCTGAATATCATCCAATGCGTGTTCTTTTTCTCATCCCTAAAGCCAAACCTCCTGTTTTGGAGGGCAATTTTTCAGCTGCATTCAAGAACTTTATTGAATTATGTTTGACAAAGAATCCTCTCGATGTAAGAAGTTTTTTTCTTTTTTTTTTTAAAAAAAAAGGAATTACTTGTAATAACTTTTAATAATGAAATAGCGACCTACTGCAAAAGAATTATTGAGGCACCGATTTATTAAGTCAGCTCGCAATACAGTTTCGTTGCAAGAGCTTGTTGAACGATATGAAGTTTGGAAATCTAATGGTCCACAAAGGGCTGCTTCTATTTTCCAGAAAACTCTGTAAGTTTCTCCTATAAAGTTTAATTCATGAATTTCGGGATAATCAAACCATTTTGTATTGATCGGCTTTTTCCTTTAAAATCAAATAGAACTATAAAGAATCATGGGACAGAATTAATCTGGGATTTCGAAACTATCAAACAAGCAGCCAAAAATGGCACTATCAAGTTAGAGGCGAGCGAGGATGGTACTTTTGTGGTTGAAACAAAGAAAGATGGAACTATCAAGTTAGAGACGAATAAGGATGGTACGATAAAATTAGATCCAGCCACAATAAAACGATTGGAAAATGCAACTTTGGTATGTTTGAAAAATGTTAATTATCTTCATTTTGTAAACAAATACTCATACGCTTATTTGATCTTTCAAGTTATCTTGTTCGAATCATTCTACGATTAGAGCTTCTGATTTTGCTGTAAGTATATTAATTGTATTTAATCCCGGGTGAGAGATATATTATCATATTATTAAATTTTAACGTTTAATTTTTTTTATTTTTTAATTAGAATCAAAGAAACCTAGAAGTTCAGGCAAATTCCAATGTTAATGGAACAATAATCCAAACTTCATCTGCAAATCAAGTGCTTACGATTGATTCGCTTTATATGAATGGCAGGTAAGTTATACGTGATATAAAAATCTAATTGAAAATTTAACTTGATTAACGAAATATTTTAAATAGTGGACTGGATACTGTAAGAGCACCAAGGCCATTTAGCGCAGCTAGCACAACGTCAAGTAGAGCATATTCAACAATTTCCAAAAAAAATGTTGCAGAAACTAGGACCGAAGAAGGAATGGCTGGAAGACAGCTTGTTCATGAAGTTATTCTACCCTCAATATCACAGGTTTGCTTTAAAGCAATCGAATAAATTTTTTTTTTTTTTTTTAAAAAAAAAAAAGCATAAATTATTTATCAAATATTTTTTTTTTTTGTAAAAAATTAGATAAAATCAAAAGATTTAAGAGTAAATGAGATTGAAGCCTTAAATACATTAGAGAAAGGAGTCGAGGATCTAGATAATGCTAATCCAGATTTAGTTATCACACTTCTAGTGGATATTCTAACACGGATGAAAGAGTAACGATTTTTTTTTTTTTACCATCTTTTACTTTTTGAAATTTTTTAAATCTAACTTGCTCATTTATAATTTGTAGTAATGCTGATGTATGTGAACAATTATCTGATTTGGGAATAGTTTCAGACGCGTTTTTAACAGCAAATAATCATTCAACTGTAGACACCGCGTCATCACGAAGTTTACCGAACGGTAACAATATAGTTGAAGTACCAGAACCAGAACCAGTTGCAGAAGTAAAACCAAAACCCCCAATAGAGATGATATATTCTAGGTGGATTGATCAATTACGGATGAAATGGCTATAATTTGTCTCAGGTTCATAACAATAATAACAATGACAATAACATTTTAATTGAAAATGGAAAAAACATTTTAATTAGTTTTCTGGGGGGGTGTGGAGGGACAAATTGTTGACATCTAAAACTTATACATATATTTCAACAATGGATATTAATATTTTTTTATATATTGTTAAAATCTTTTTATTAATTGTATATTATGTTGTAAATCTTCATATATTCTTTCTTTAATTTTTTTTTTTATAATACCCTTATGTTTATTTTTAACAAATCTATAAATAACCATTCATCCTTTTATCCTTTTTTAATTGTAAGTTTATTCGTTTCCAAATACCGTCTTTATTTGTACTATATAAATATGTCAATAAAAACTTAAACAAATTATGATTATTAATTATTTTTATTAAACGTGTAAATTGTTATAAAATAAATATTTTTAACCCTTATTTGTGGAAGAACTTTGATCTTTGAACAATAGCCAAACATGACCATAAAGAAGGTTAGCAACGACCCATTTCACCAAAGTCCAAGTGTCCTTTTCGCATCTCATTGTCAACACGATAAATGCTACTAGCGCTTCAACGAAATGAAAAATGACCAAAATGCTTAGACTTATATTTATTATAGTTGGTCCAACAAAATCTCTAAATTCTTCGATAAATTTTGGTGAAGAAAAAGGGTAGAAAGCCATGGTTAATAAGAATACGATGCCAAATAATGTTAATGATAAATCAAATTTTCCAGGCATAATAAATGGTGTATGAAAAGAAGTTGATACTCGTGATGATGAATCAGTCATCATTGAAAGTGGTGGTCTTGTACTAGGCTAAAGGTAGATAATTCAATTAATATAAAAATTTGTCAATTGACAAAAATATGTATAAAGAAAGTAATGATACCAAGTTCAAAGCGTCCTCGGCTTCTTGTGCCATCCTAGTCAGTGTAGGTCTAACTTCTTCATGCGATCTCAATTGATTTTTAAATCTAATGTGAACTTCTGATTCTAATCCATCCTCTCCTTTTACCGCTATCACAAACCCAGTCGAGTTAATATCCGTCATACAAGCACTAACTGCGTTTCTAACTTCTCCATAATACTTTGCATATCCTAGGATAGTATCGGGATGCGTATTCATGTAAGAAACCAAACGATTTGCATGAGGAGAAATTATGTCTGCACTATTATCTTTACGGTTATTAACTTTACGGTTTTGCATTTTTTTTTTTTGAATTTAAGATCAATTACTAAACCACGGGTAAAAAATTTAAAACTTTCTTTGTAAGGTTAAATAAATAATTAATTACGGTAGTCAATCATCAGATAATCAATTGTCACGTGGATTGATCTTGGCGATAAGGTATCGAATTTTTTTTTTATTTTTGGGTTTCCCTAGATTTTTTTTTTTTTCCTCCTCTTTGCATCTTGCCTTTCTAGCTATATATCATATATTGCTTAGGCGATCCATAACGGATAATGGCTACCCAAATCTCAAAGAAAAGAAAAGTGAAGTATTTTTTTTATGATTTAATAGGAATTTGAATAGATATCGATAAAAATTCTAGTTCAGATATTTCCTGGATATCTCACTTTTTTATAATTGATATGATGATACAATTTATCTGGCACCTCTTGTTTGAATACCTTATTAACTAAAGGTATAATGCACGGAATTTAAAGATTAGTCTGATCTATAATAAGTGAGATAATCTACACGAATAAGATAATTTTTATTCATTAGAAATGGGCATGGGCTTTTCCTTCAGTGTTTTTAATTCAGGGAGGGAAACAGAAAAAAAAAAAAAAGAAGCCAACAATTAACGTTTTCTATTTGATATAATAGATCGAAATTTTTTTATTGATAATTTAATTTTTTCGCGTAAATTAATTAGTTCGTTGCTGATGGTGTGTTCTTTGCCGAACTCAATGAATTTTTTACACGTGAATTGGCCGAGGAAGGTTACTCGGGTGTGGAAGTCCGTGTAACCCCAGCCCGAACGGAAATTATAATCCGTGCTACACATACTCAAGAGGTTCTCGGTGAAAAAGGACGTAGAATTCGTGAATTAACAGCCCTTATTCAAAAAAGATTTAAATTCCCTGAAAATACTGTCGAGTTATACGCAGAAAAAGTACAAAATCGTGGACTTTGTGCTATTGCTCAGTGTGAATCGCTTCGATACAAGCTATTGGCTGGTCTTGCCGTAAGAAGGTAAATTTTATTAAAAAAGAAACCCCTTTTTTTTTTTGCTTTTTTATTTTTTGTATTTTAAAATTAAAACGATATTATTTGTTTACGTTTAGGGCTTGTTATGGTGTTTTGAGATTCATTATGGAGTCGGGAGCAAAAGGATGTGAAGTGGTTGTATCTGGAAAGTTGCGTGCAGCTCGTGCTAAATCGATGAAATTTGTTGATGGGTTCATGATTCATTCCGGTCAGCCAATCCGTGATTATGTGGATACAGCTATTCGACACGTTATGTTGAGGCAAGGTGTTTTGGGAATTAAAGTCAAAATCATGAAGGTACGTAATCGACAGAATTATTTATACTTTCAAATTTGTTCCCGGGCATCCTTTTTAATCACGTATAAAATTGTTTCAGGATTGGGATCCAAGTGGTAAAATTGGTCCAAAGAACCCTCTACCCGATATGGTTACCATTATGGTATGTCATTCTTGTCGATGACTTTTTTTTTTTGTTTTTCAATTGGTTCAAAATAATTAATTCGGTTTAATAAAATAGGAACCCAAGGAAGAGCAGATCATTACAGAACCAACTTCAGAAGACTTAAGATCGGCTCAGGATATCCCTGTCCCTCCCTTATCTCCTCCTACACAGCCCCCGGAATTTACTAGTGAACCTTTCGAGTAAAAACAAAAAAAAAAATAAATAATTTTCTTCTTATAATAAATTATTATTGCATAACGGAAATTCGGCTTTTTTACTTTGGAGGGTTATTAATTTTTTTTTTTTTTTTATTTTTGAGAAAAATTAAAAAGAAGCCGAATTATTTTCTTTAACATTCGAGTCTGCCAAAAAGTTAAATTAAATGTAACATTATAAAGTAATAATAATAATAATAAT